CTTCAACTCCTGTACCTCCTTGCACAGAGGATTGTTGTAGTCATTGTGATATCTTACTTAGAGTGCTGCTATGTTGCAGGATATAGTCAAATTTCGGGATGACTTTTGGGAAAGAGTTATAATCTTCATGCTTCTATTATTCCTGCTCTGAGAAAGAACTCATATTCTGAGGTTCATGTTTCATCCTAGGTGTCGATTTTAAAGGCAACTCATGGCATGTGGAATAATCAAAAGAAGGTATGACAGAGACAAAGAATGATTAACAGGACTTGTGATATTTCCCCTCTCTATTTGGGCTCTGTGATCACTTGAGAAGCCAGAGGAAAGACTTCTTAGGAATATTAATGTGGACTTTGTGGTTTCAGCATTCATAATAGCAACAGTAGATGAGCATTGGAAGCCATCTTTGATATGCTGCTCACTATTTTCTTACTTAGTCTGTGTTGTTAGAGAAACAAGAAAGAGTGTGCAGTTGACATGGGCTTGGGATGCCATTATGCACAGCAGTATTTTTGGGAGTTTACATACACAGAAGTCTGCTGAGAATTTGATTAGGGTGCATATGTTGAGACCTATATTGGTCAGGTTTAGGATCTGTATTTGTTAACAGCACTTACTGGTTAAGTCCATGTGGTCTGAGGTTGGAGTTGCAAGTATGCATTTTCATCTCTCCCATATATAGTGCAACCTTTGGAGAACTGTTTGTCTCTTCAACAGCATAGGATGCTTATTAACTGTTAGTGCATGCTCCCTACCCCACAATCCATTGTTCTTGCCACATGTGGGGAAGCCAGGGACACTTTTGTGGAGCTTGTTCCCTTCTTCCACCTGTAGGTTCTGCCAAATGCCATCAAGCTTCTGAGCTGTCTCCCTGGTCTGATGTGCCCAGTAACTTCTTTGTTAATGGAACTTGAATCAGCTAGGGATTTTGCATTCTAATTTTTGTAGAAAGTATTATGACTATATGACAAATTTTGCTTCCTGAACAACTGTCCTCCACCCCTTTAAAAAGTACATTTTATGATTGCTTCAGTGATTGTCAGATAAGTTGCTGTTTGCACTGTACTAGAAGTAGACACGTTGCTTGGATTTGTGGGATTTCTTTTCACCATTGTACTTCCCATAGACATGACAATGTTCTGAACACCTGAGACAGAGATAATGATTTTAGAAACTGATTCTGGGCTGTTTTTAGGTTTATGTGATAAAGGTTTTGGGGCTAGAGTATAACATGATATGCTTGGGAAGGTAGAGGAGCAGGAACTTATACATATGTGGTAAGAGCAGTAAGGGGTGAGCAACATTTGTCAGGAAGTACTGTGGTAGGCTTATTAGGTTATGTCCATGCCTGCTTTCAGAAGAAAAATGTCTTGATTCCGTGTAGGTGGGTGGGGTAGATTGGAGGCAATGTGTAAATAAATGGGTTGCTGAGAATGAGAGATGTAGTCAAGCTTCTGCATTAGTCCCTGTGGGAGAATATTTTATAAAGATAATAAAATTAATTTCAGGCACTTCACACTAGATGTTGTCTAAGCTTGAGTAGCAGAAAGGCAAGTATGGGAAAAATGAGAAGATGAGACTCTCTGTCTCTCTCTCTCTCTCTCTTTTTTGTGAGAGCAGGATGGCCTCAAACTCACAGAGATTCTCCCCCGCCTCTGCCTCTGGAGTGCTGGAATTACGGGCTGGAAAGCCCTTTATTTAGTGCTTTTGTATTCTCAGGTTTATGTCCTGATCCTGTCATTCTGTAGACCATTCTAAGGCACCTCACTCAGAATGAGGAGACAGTCACAGAAGAATGGGTGTGAGATATTCACAGCAGAATGAGTGGCTAACTAGGACTTATTACTGTGCGCAGACAGCTTTTTGGGTACTGCACATTTTCTTGCCTTTGCTCTGTGTACCCTACATTGGTAGGGAGCAACAGGATGACACACCGCATACAACTCTGCAGCTGTGAAAGGGAGTTTAATGTTGAATATTCTGTGTTATCACCTAACCAGCACAGTCGTTTTATTAAGGTCACAAGTTTGGTGAGATAGAGATTATAAAACAACAGTTAGCATGTGTGTAATTTTTTTTTCTCTTTTTATTGTCTAGTGTTTGAAACCATATAATTTATGTCATTCATAGGTTGCTTCTCCTGCATTTAAAGAATTTATAGGTGTAATAAAGCTTCAGATGTCAGCATCTCAACCTTGAATGTGGCTTCCTTTGTAGGCATTTCCATTTCACATGGCTTATACTTTAAATAGACTTCAGTTAAAGGTGTATAATTCTCTTATCTAGAGCCTGAGTCAGGATGAAGACTCCAGCCTTCACAGAATGCAGTAAATCTTTATGGGAGTTTCATAGACAAAACTATTTTGGGGATTTATGATTTATAAACTGTTGATGGAGGAAATAATAGTTTATAATCTCACGTCATTGTTTGCTGTGGAGATACAGATGAAAAGAATGGGAATTCCTTCTGGCAGCTTTAATGAATAGGTCCCTTCTGTTTTAAAAAGAGGTGGGTTTTAGCCTAATAAGTCTCCCACCTGTGGCTGCAGGTAACCTGCTAGGGGAGCTTGCATGAAAATTCTAGGGAAAATCAATTTATCCACATTTACTCTTCATCTGTTATGTGTCCACATAATCTACTTCTTGATTAACTATTTGTATTCCACAAATGGAGTCTTGTTAAAAGCCTTCATGTTTCTGGTTCTACTCATGATTTTGAAGGTCCCTGGTGACCTGAGCCTCATTAGAGGTTTAGTAGTAACTTGTGTTCTTCTGGTTAGATTGGCATAGTTTTTGGCTTCTCTTGGTCCTCTAAAGTTGCTGCCCTGCATCAGAAATATCTTGGCAACCAAGAGTGAAGGAGGGCTAGTGATGGAAGGCAAGGTGGAAATCATACCTTGCTTCCTTCCGTGGGCTATTACTTTCCTCTAGAATAGCTTTTCTCAATCTTTGGAGGACAAATGACCCTTCCACAGGGGTTGCCTAAGCCCATTGGAAAACAGATATATTTACATTACAAATAATAACACCACCAAAATTACAGTTATGAAGAACTGTCATAAAGGTTTGCAGCATTAGGGATGTTCAGAGCCACTGCTCTAGGAAATCCTTGAAGCTTGATCAGAGTGTAGCTGTATGTAGGACTTAAAATTTTTATGTGGTTGGACTTCTTTCTAAGAAGTAAGCTTGTGTTTATGCAGAGCTTAGGAGTTTAAGAGCTGGATAAGACTATAGTATAGTCTTCTCATTGAGTTCTGTGGAGATTTTACATTATCTGTTGTGATGGGAATGAAAACCAAGTTCTTCCTACAACCCTTATGCCTTGGATGACAGTTCTGAGCTATTGTGTATGTTCTGCTACAGGAGAAAGAAGGATGGAAAAAAACGTGAGTGTTTTGAATAGTGCTTTTACCTAAAGATCTGTTTTTTCTTTATTCCTAGAGGAATCATCAAGTTAAAGCGTTATAAAATGTTCTTATAGGTTGGTGTGTGATTGTTAGCTTATCAACCTACAGAGGTTCATAGGACAGAACTTCTAATGTTCTTAGCTAGCAGATTCTTTGCTGAAAACTCTTTAAAATCTAAAATCTTGTTCCTAGTTTCCTGAACAGGCATTTCTTCCTAGTTTCTTAGTAGCCACTGGTTTCATATGCTATTTCCATGACCCACAAAACCGAGGGCCTCATGCATGCTAGACATGTGCCCTAACCCTCAGTAGCCCCTCGGGCCCTCTTCTTGTGTCTTTATAGTAACACTGGTTCTTTATTTCCCCACCATGTGGTTTTATTTTTTTTTCTTAAGAACAAAGAATTATACTTTTATTTTCATTTGAGTTTGTTTGATTTAAATGTTTCTGCACACATGTAGAGTTCAGAGAACAGTTTTTGAGAGTTGGTTTCTTCCTTCCCCGTGGGTTCTGGGGATTAAACTCCGATCATAAGGCTTGTATAGGGAACTCTTACTTGCTGAGCCATCTTGCCAGTCATGAGTTGTAGTCATTTTTGTAGCTTGTAGCTCTTTGGTTCAACTACTGAATTGCATCCTTCGCCATGTAATATCATTGGGTTAAAAATTACTACCTCATTTGTACTTTGTAGAGCTTGTTCTCTTCATTTGTCCCTTAGGGTTAATGGGTATCCAATTCAGCTTTTGATAATGGAATTATAAACTCTTTAAAGGCAACAGTCAAAAATGTACAGTATTCTACCCACGTCTCAAGGGAACACTGCTTATATAGTGTCGTGTACATACATGTGATGTTGTTTATATATAGTGTGGTCTTATTTACACCTGGTCTTGAGGTTGACAACTCTTTGCTGATTCTTTTTCTTTAAAAAAACAAAAAAAACAAAAACAAACAAAAAAACCCCCCACAGTTTTTCTTTGTTAGGAAAAATTTAACGTCAGTATTAATTTTTAATAAATATATGTAGATATTGGGGTTACATGAGGAAATTAGGATGTTTGCATTCCTTCATTGGAGGATTAGTTTGGGATTTGTGCAGAAGGAATGTATTACCACTTTATACTCTGGTGCTGGATCAAATAATCCTTGTTAGGAACAGGACACCCAAACCCCTCCCCCAAAGATAAACAAGAACAAGTAATGGTTCTGGCTGGCTAGGATTTTTTTTTTTTTTAAAGATTTATTTATTCATTATGTCTATGTTATTCTGCCTGCATGTATACCTGCACCAGATCTTATTATAGATGGTTGTGAGCCACCATGTGGTTGCTGGGAATTGAACTCAGGACCTTTGGAAGAACAGTCAGTGCTCCTAACCTCTGAGCCATCTCTCTAGCCCCCTGGCTAGGGTCTTGCTATGGTAGATCAGGATAACCTAAATCCCTCAGAGTTCCACCTACCTCTGCCTCCTAGGTGTTAGGATTAGTGATGTGTCCACCATACCCAGTTTGAAATTTGAGTCTGAATTAGTGTGCCTGTTTTTTTTTTTTTTGTTTGTTTGTTTTTTGTAACTCCCCTTTCATTTTTTTTATAGGATGACAGCGATGGTATCCCATGGTCAGAAGAAAGAGTGGTACGGAAAGTCCTTTATTTGTCTCTGAAGGAATTTAAGAATGCACAAAAAAGGCAGCATGGAGAAGGCATTGCAGGGAGCCTGAAAACAGTAAATGGTGAGTCAACAGTAGAAACTGGATATGGTCTCTTTGTATTGCCACGTTATGACTTGAGTGGGCTCATAAAAGCTTAAGCTTGCTGGGCTAAGGAATTTAGGCTGTATAGATATACATTTTGGACAACCTATTCAATTTATAGATTTATTTTATGTTCCTTTATGTATTGCAAAATACAATTGGGAATGTGCTTTAATCTGTTTTGGAGGTCATAAGCTGAATGTGCTGCATATATATTTAAGGCTTCACTTTTTTTTTTCACTTAGTTTCTTGCTCGTGTGTGTGTGTGTGTGTGTGTGTGTGTGTGTGTGTACACGTACTCAATCTACTCAGCATGTGCACACAACCCTTTAATGATCTTATTGTAATGTGGAGCCTTTTGTCCTGGTTATATAAGGAAATATCCTAAAGGCCTACTGTTCCTTGTGCTCTGTCCACCAGCCCTGTGAGCATGCTCTGTCTTCCACAAGACGTGGGTGTGCAATGGTTAGAACCCCCAGTCACACTAGGATGCTCTTTGTGTGTTTAATTGAACAGATCTGGAAAATCTGGAGAGAACTGGCTTTCATGTTTGTTACTTTCTCTGTCATTCAGTAGGATTCTAAGAAAACAATTTCATTGTTGTCTGTCTCCAGCTGTGGTACATTTCATAGTCTATGGCATATATCTTAATTGCTTATAGATTATGGAATGAATTGTTTATGTTCCACTTTGTGCAGGAGGAGACCTTAGTGTTGGAAACGAATCAGCACATATAGCGTATCCGGTGCCAAGTGATAGTTCCCATTTGGTTTCCAATTTTCTCCTTTCTCCTCTGCCTCCCTATACTTCCTCTTTCTCATGTGTGTATATGATGATTATGTGTGTGCAGACATGGAAATCAGGGGGCCTTAACTTCCTTCCTCCTTGTTTGAGATGGATCTTGTTTGCTCCTGTGTTGCCCCAGATTTCTTTTGTTTGCCTTAATTGAATACCTCATGGTTTCTTGTTGGAGCTAGTATTTACAGAGTGGATCTATTTTTGACTGACTTCCGTAGGGTCATGGGAGGGTTTTCTAAAACCCCCTCTGTGAACTCCATTGTGCACCCAACTTGCTTTGCTGTCTTAATCTGGTGTTCTGTCTTCAGTTGGGGTAACTTGAAGGAAGACACAAACTCCACCTGGTTGGTTTACTTAATGTAGGACTTTCCTTATGTGTATGTGTGGTTTTGCCTCCGTGTATTACATGTGCACCATGTGCTTACCTTGTGCCCAAGTAGCTGCATATGGATTCTGAATAATAAGCACTCTAAACCCTGAGCTACCTCTGCAGCCTTGACTCTACCTTTTTCTATGTATCTCTGATTTCTTTTTTTTTTTTTTTTTTTTTGTCAATGCTCTTCTGAGCCAACATACATTTGACAGGTCTGTTTGGAGAATTATGTAAGTTCTAGAAGCCATTTTCTCTTCCTTCGTTGCAGTACTGTAAACTCTAAGCCCTCTGTAGAGTTGGTTTATTATCACTGTGTAACATAGTATTTTGTCAGATACAATACTGTGTATCATAGTATTTCAGGAATGTCTGAGCACAGAATGATGAGGAAGAATTGGATTGAAATCCAGAGCAAGAGTAGAGGAATAGCAGCTACTGATTAGATGTTTTATGTTTGTAAACAGGAATATTATCCTATCCAAGAGTAGCAGGAAGTGCCTTAGTATGATTCTATATTTGTCCATTGTTAGAAATGCAGTATAATTTTTCCTAATGGTAAATATTAGACATTATGAAAAGTAGGTAGACAGTTGTCCAGAGCTTAGTAATGATATTATTTGGATTAAAGAGCAGAAACTAAAGATAGTCATTGTAGCAGCACCCACTGCTGCTAACCATCTGGCTAAATTTAGCTTTGACTTTGTAATAATTAATGTGAAAATACAGAGGGAGATGCTATAATGGCAGCTGCAAAAGGCATTCCTATTACGATTGAAGCTCTTAACTTGGCACCATGTGCGTAGTGCAAGTTCAGGTTTTGTCAGGACGTTCTGCTTTTACGCTTGACCCCAAACTTGTGGTGATATGATTCTCCTGCCTCAGCCTGACAAATGCTGTCATTATAGATACATGGCAGGTCTGTCCACCCACCCATCTGTCCAGTGTGATCTGTTTGTCTCTATCACTGTCATCTAGTGTGTTGGAGGGTGTGAACTTGGTGGTCAGCGGATAGCTTTTGGGACTCAGTTCTCATCTTTTGTTTGTTGAGGCAAATAAGAAGCGTTCATGTTGCTGATGGGCTATGTACTTCAGACTAACTAGACATTCTGGGCAATTAACTGTCTCCCATCTTGCTTAGAGGATGCCTTTAGGTAGGCTCGCTACCTACTGTGGGTTCTGGGTATCAGAGAATGATGCAGGCATGTGCATCTAGTATTTTTGACTGTAGAGCCTTCTCCATGACCAGCTGGCTTATTTTTTAAAAGATACTGTTATAAAGATTTCAGTTTTGCTTGTTAAATTGCTGTGAATATGCTAGTGTCTGGTTCTTCTTGATGTCTTCCAAGACCATTTTTGTCACTGTACAGTAGATCAGGTTTTTTCAGGGCTTTTGAATTTTGAGTTCCTTGTTGTGGTTGTGGTGTTTTAAAGAACTTTTTCTCAGCACCGTTCACTCCCATCCCATAAACAAAAAAAAAAAATCTTTCTCAGAAGAGTAGCTATTTTATTGAAAGTAGGTGCTTAAGCAAAGTTTGGCAGTTTTATTCGGAAGAGCCAGAAAGTAGAATTACCACAACAGGAATAGCTCCTTTTTTTGTGAGGGTGTACTTCTCTCCACTTACTGGGAATGCTCTGTGAATCTCCCCCTTCCCCAACAAACAAAAAAAATCGAGGATTCAAGACATTGGAGTCTGTTGAGAATAGAGTGACTTGTCATTGCCTGTTGTGTGTGACAGGAAGGAAGGGTTTATTTTGGTTCACAGTTCCTAGGGAGGCATGACAGCAAGAGCATGAGGCGGCAGCTGCTCACATTGCATCTATAGAACTAGAGAATGGATAGGAATTGTGGCCAGGCTGGGAAACCTCCAGATAAGCCCATCTCCTTCCACAACCTTTCAAAACAGTACCAGCAGGTGAGGACAGATTTTCAGAAAACCTACGTGGGGATCTTGCTCATTTAATCCGGAACGATTCTTATAACAACAGCCTATTCCAATAGAAACACTGTGTTCTGTAGATCATATGCAGCTATGACATAGGTTAGGGGGGTGTGGTGATAAAGTAAGTGATGTGTTGGTTTAATTGACAATGGTTAGTGACGAGATTTCTGTCAGAGAACTACAGCTCATCTGGCATGTTGATGTATCTCGTAGTTGCCTGTGACTCCAGCTCTAGAGGATCCAACACCCTCTTCGGTAGGCACCAACACACATGTACATATACATTTTATAAAGAAAATTTGACTTAATTTTCAGCACCATATGAAATGGTACTCCAGCTTTTTTTATTATTATGGAAATATATATGGTAGCAATAAAGCTTTAAGATCTCCTATTAAGACTGTTAAGTATACAGCTTTTACTAGGACGTGAAGTGTCTAGAGGTAGGGTGGTGTTTAAAGACCTGTAAGCTAAAAGGTATGGATAGCTCAGGTAGCTATGGGAGGAGGGGAGGTGGAAAGATAGTTCCCCCCCAAAAACATCCATTGAGATGTACTTTTCTTTTTTCTTTTTTTTCCCTCCTAATTTTTGTTGTCATTGCTTGGTTTTTGGTTGGTTGATTGGTTTTTTGTTTTTTGTTTTTTTTACATGGGCCAACAACTTCTGGGCTAGGGACTTACCTTGAAGTGTGGTTGATACAACTATTGACACTCCATTGAAGGATTTTTTTTTTTTTTTTTTTTTTTTAAGTTTGCTGCCATTTCAATTGCATTTAGCTTCTTGGTTAGGGATTAGAACGTGTCCAATTCCCCCTCTCAGTGCTTGGACCTCTTCTGGCCTGAAAATCTGTGGATGTCTTATGAGTGTGCCTTACTTAGTTTGCTTTTCTGTTGCTGTGAAGTGACAATATGACTTCAGCAACTCTTAAATTTAATCGGGGCTGGCTTAAAGTTTCAAAGGTTTAGTTCACTATGGTCATGGCAGGAAGCATGGCAGTGTGCAGGCAGACATGGTGCTGGAAAAGGAGCTAATTACCCAGATCTGCAGGCCGCAGAAGAGAGCTAACTGGCTTGAACTGAGAATCCTCGTGACACACCCTCAGCAAGGCTGTCCCTCCTTATAACAGTGTGCTACCTCTATGATTCAGACCACCACAGGCTTGCTTCCACAGCCTATTGTTTCTGTTAGAAACTGGTCGTTTTCTTTCATTCATTCATTCATTGGATTTTTTTTTTTGTTTTGTTTTGTTTTGTTTTGTTTGTTTTGGAGTCATTCATCACTTCTGACTCTGTATTTATACCTTTTAGCTTGGAAGTATTTTGTCATCACATGCCTTTAAGTTCTGATAGTCTTTAAGCTGAGTAAAATCATCTTTTGAATGTACATGTGGTAGAGATTTTGTTGAGTTGCATAGGCATGTATTATGTAGGTAGTAGCAGGGTTGGAATTACAGTTAAAGTTAATGTAACTGATTTCAGATGATAACATGCAATCCAGAGCACATGAAGCAACATTAAGTCTTTGAGGTTGTGATGCTGAACACAGTGTGTTTTCGTCGTATGTCATTTTTATCATTATTATTGTTAAAGCTTTTGTAATTTTACATTTTTTTTATTTCATGTGCATTTGTGTTCTGTGTACATGTATGTCTGTGAAAGGGTGTGTCAAAAAATACCCTGGAACTGGAATTACAGACAGTTGTGAGCTGTTGTGTGCTGGGAATTGATTCAGGGTCCCTTTGGAAGAGCAGGCACTGCTCTGAACCACTGAGCCATCTCTCCAGCCCCTTCTGTCATTTTTTTAAAATTTTGTTTATTTATTATTTACACAGTTTTCTGCCTACTTGCGTGCCTGCAGGCCAGAAGAGG